ATAAAATAGGAAATACATACTCTGTTTTGTTGTGGTTGTGTGCCTTTAGGTTGCTCCTTCTAATGGCAAAATTAGAATGAACCTATCAGGAAGGGTTTTTTGGCAAGATTTATTCAGAGCGGGTTTGCCTTTGCCTTCCTCTGAGGTTGAGAGAGAGTGATGGCCTTTGCAGACTGCCAGAAATAGTGCACATTAAATTGAGGCACTGCCCTGGCTCAGTGCTAGGGAATCATGGGAACTGTAATTTATTGTGGCACCAGAGCTCTCTGACAGAGAAGGCTCAATGTCTCAGAAAAAAATACAATTCCCATGATTCCCTAGCACTGAGCCAGGGCAGTGCCTCAATTTAATGTGCACTATTTCGGGCAGTCTGCAAAGGCCCTGAGTCACCCAAGACCATACACTGCATTTCCATGTCCAAACAGGAATTTGAATCCTGGTCTCCTAGACTCCTGCAGTTAAACCATTATACCATGTTGACTCTATTTTCTCTCTAACTTTATTTTAATGCTGAGTATGATATGGAGTGTCACATCCTATGAATATTCTGTTATAACAGGTAGGCAGTTTATATACAGTATCTCACTCGCCACAGTATAATAAAAAAAGTTAAATCTTTGCTGTATACACTTTATGTGTGTTCTTATTTTTGAGCACCAAAATTCTATTAAGTGATTAAAGTAAAAAAGTCAGCCAAACTATCATTAAGATCTTATTTGAAAGGCAGTTTCAAATAATCTAAGATAACATACTTTGGTCACTTTCTGATTTCTTTTTATCTATTAGTTGCTGGTCCCATTATGTCAAAGCAACCAGCAACTCTCTCTGTGTGTGTGCTATCAAGTCGCCAGTCAAGGTAAGGCAACAACAGCAACTGGTATTCATTGCTGACACTGCTTAGCTTCCAAGATCAGACCAGATCTGGTGCCTTTGGGGTATTTATTTATTTGTTAGTTTATTCTGTTTATTTATATCCTGCCTTCCTCCCAGCACAGGGACTCAAGGCGGCCCTGGCCTAACCATCTTGCCTACCCAACTACACTAATCCAAAAAGGCCTCCTGTATCAGCTGTGATACATTGGGCCACTTGATAAGCAAGGAAAATAGAGGGAGGCTCAATAGAGAGATAAGGGGGAAATCCAAAGAGCTCAGAGTCCGCTGTTGACTGTATCAGGTCTCTGTCTGATTATTAGTCAGCAATACTAACAATAGTGCATGCATCCCCATGGTTATTTTAAGCTTGTGGTTTTTCATTGTTTTCTGGGAAGTCTGGATGTTCCTCATATGCTTATGATAAATTACTAGGTGAGAAGACGAATAGTGCAAGGAATGGTTGGACATACAGTATTTTTGGATGCATTCTCAGTACTAGGTCCAGTAGTTGCATATTTTCTGGACTCATTTATTCCTCTCTCTCTCTTTTTACACTCCATAAGATATATAAATAAGAGGCACAATCTGGCCAACACTATATTTACCAGTTCTACTGCATATCATTAAAGTCAGCAGGATCCGAATCTGCCTAGCTTTGGCCAGATTGGGCCATTCATTAACCAATGTGACAGATATAATGCAACCAAAGTCGAGCATTTGAAGCTCTCTTAAAAGACTTGTTGCCTTATCGTATACATCAGGGTGGGCAAAGTGTATCTTGTGGGCTGCATTTGGCCCCCAGGTTTTTATTTTAATTGCTCCAAAAGCCCCATCATACCCTCTTTGGGGTGTGAAGGGCATTTCCATCACTTTTGGAGCCCTCTATGCCCCCCAGGGGTCAAACAAAACATTTATAGAATTTTTTTAAAAAAATCAAAAACTTTTGCCCCATAATGCCCTCCAGAGAATATAGGAGGCATTTCCACCATATTTGGGGCCCATTAAGGGCTGATTTTGACTCAGAAGAAGCCTTTTTTGAAGAAGTAACTTCTGGTCACTTCTTGTTATTAAAAAAGGAGGCCTCTCCTGGGCCTAAAAGGGCCCAGCATGACACCAAAACATGGTGAATGTCTCCCAGAGGACATCTGATTTCTTATTTTCTTTTTAAATTTTTATTATTTTTAAAAAATATTTTATTTTTTTATTTTGCTGGAGCAGATACAAAAGGGAGTGCAGCCCTTATAGTCATGGGGGGGGGGAAGTGCTAATATGCCCCCTACCCTTCCACAATTGCCCATCTCACTATACCTGATTTTTCCAAAGTCCAAGGACTTAAACAGAATTTACCTCCAGTTGCAAATATGCACAGATTGCGGCCCAGCCAAATTTAATCTTCATCAGCAAAACCAGCAAGATGTAGGAGAACTTAACTTTGGCTGGATCATTCATCCTTTCATTACTCTAATGTTGTGATCTTTGTATTTTATAACTAAGCCTGATGAAAAAGGCAATGATTATTTACTGTAAACCTATTAAAATCATTTTGTGCCTGTTTATTTTAGATATTAGTTACAAGTAACTTTGACTCCATATTTTGATAAAACTGCCTTCTGAAACTAATCCTTACACAAGAAAATTAGATTGCTTGTACACTCTTACATATCATGTGTAATATACATATATATTCCCTCATGTATAAAGCAGCTTCCAGGCCATCATTAAACTTCCCCATTTTATTTCTGTGTTCTACAAAACTGAAGCTAAGATTTATTTCCTGCAAAGCATGACACATAATAGAGCTAAGGAATGAAAGTTTTTCCTGAGTTATTTTGATAAGGCACTTTTTAAAAATTGCTAGATTTTCTTTTGTGTAAAGATGATAGATTTGAGAAAGCAGGACTGGCTTAAATGAAACTCTGGATAAGAGAGCTAGGTAATTTGATAACTGGTGAAGACTATCCCAATTAATCCTCAGCCATCCGACATTTTCAGATGTCCCAGTTTCTTTCTCTCCTCCTTCCACTCCATTTTCAGCTTACTTTGGTAGCTGCAAGCTGAATTAAAATGCAAACACAGTTTGGACTTAAGTAAGTGATAAGGTTAAAATATAGCTAAAATATGCATGTTATAAGTAATCA